CCTGCCACAGGCAGTACCCCCTTAAAAGTTGGGGTTCAGGGGTACAGCTGGGGGTCGTGGAGGGGCTGAGGAGAATGGTGGCGTGGAGGCTCACAGCTACGGGAGTGAGGGGCCTTTGAACAGGCCTGCACTGGGCTGTCACAGCAAAGATGGGGCACCCAACCCCCCACCTGTGGGACAGGGAACTCACCACGTGGAAGGAGGGTGATGCTGGAAGACCTTCAGGCCTTCCTTCCCTTGAACTCCGCCCTAGGCTAAACTAGTCAGTTCCTCTTTTTTGTTTTTTTAAATTCAGTGATTTTTTTTTTTTAGAGAGAGAGAGAAGGGGAAACATGGATTTGTTGTTCCACTTACTTATGGATTAATTGTTTGATTCTTATGTGTGTCCTGACCCAGGATCGAACCCACAACCTTGGAGTATCTGGACAATGCTCTAACCAACTGAGCTACCTTGCTTGGGCTTTCTCTTTTTTCTTTTTCTTTTTTTTCTTTTTTCTTAAAAATGACAGTTTATATTTTTTTACTATGTGTTGGTAACTGTTAAAAAACTGCTGTGGTGGGGAGGGTGTGTGCCCATTCCTGTGGTGTAAGTACTGCCACCGGCTGCTGTACACCCACCACCAGTTGGGAGTCGGGAGAGATGCGCAGCAGCCTCCCTCCTGCAGATCCAAGCCCCAGAGCCCAGCCATATGGTGAACTAATGAGGGAGTAGTGAGGCCAGGATAGCTCTTGCATTTGCTTTTAATGTGATTCACTGAGTGCGTGTTCTGCCTCAGTGTCTAGGGCTGGCTGTGTGCAACACTGACGTGCACGGTTACGTGGCTCGACACGCGGCCTCCGTCTCTGAAGCCAGTTAGCGCATTGGGCCCTCGCTGAGATCGCTCTCATGTTCTGTGCATCAGCCCGAAACTCCCTGCTTCTGAAGGGGGTGTCATTGGGTCAGACCCACATGAGCGCTCTCTTTTGCCGCAGAACCTAATCTCAGTACTGGGTCCCACCGCACTCGGATGGGGCTCTGCGCGGGTGAGCAGGGCCGCTCCCCCAGGAGCCCGTAGGCTGTTTGAGCTCTGGACCTACTGGAAAGCAAGGTGATTCTCAGCTACGAGAATACAGGGACCAGCAGTCTGTCCTGACAGTCGGTCTAATATGGGGTGGTCTTGTCAGTCGGTGGGGTCCATGGAGTGTCTTGGTCTGTTCCCATGTTCTGTGACTTATATGCAGGCTGTCAGGGGACAGGAACCTGGATCTGCCCCACATGCTGATGCTAAATGCCAGGGAGAGCCCAGCTGCTCACCATGCACGTGTGTGTGTGTGTGTGTGTGTGTGTGTGTGTCTGTCTCTGGCAGCCCTGTGGTGTGTGTGTGTCTGTGTGTCTGTCTCTGGCTCCCCTGGGGGGGGGTGTCTGTCTCTAGCTCCCTGGGGGGTGTGTGTGTCTATGTGTCTGTCTCTGGCTCCC